GGATGATTTAAAAAGGCAGAGGGACAGAGTTAGAACTTCAATATCAGAAAAAGACAACAGACAACATTGTTATGTGTTATCATGAAAAGATAAGTCTCTATTGATCCAGATTGTGGGCAAAGGCTGCACTATTGACAGGAAGACAGAATATGTCGGAGCGGCAATATTTCATACATTTGGCCTGTTCACTCCATCACTGTGAGAGGGTGTTTTTCTGGGCTGTATATAATAACACGTGTGCTCTTTATTTCCCTCAGATCAATGGTAATGCGAGGGGGGCCACATAAGATGGATGCCACGGGCAGGTTAACCTATCGACTGCTGAACAGAGACACACAGAGCAAGACAAGGGAGACCAACCCATTTACTGAGATGAACCCAAGCTGGCTGTTTTTTGAATTGCCCTGCTTATTGCACCCATTTGTTGCAGCTTATTATGTCTAACAAAACTTTACATCTGGAAAATATCATTTACTTTCACAGGTTTCTCTAATGTTTATACAGCTCTAAGGTCCTGTCAGTGTTTCTCTAGCAAATATAGTCGAGCAATGTGATATAGAGACATAAACATTTTTGCTTTAAGCCTAATGGTATATATGTCCTGTCTAACCCTGCAGTCCTTGTGTACCCTGTGACTGTGGAAAAAGTGGCAATGCGCTGCCTGGTGACCACTTCCTGCAGACAGGACAGGAGGCAGACGGGAGGGCAGGCTAGCCCTCACAGGTGGCCCGGATCTGGATCAGGTCAGCCCTCGCCCTCGGACAACCAGCCAGCTAATCTCACGCTCATGCTCCGAGTCTCTTCGAGTCACCAACACCCCAGCTCTGGATAAAGAGAAAAAAAAGAAAAAGAAAAAAGTGTAAAGGTAAAATTTAATTGAAAACATATGCCAACTTTGATTTCACAAGTGTTGTCAATACTGTACTTTTGTCAAAATCCACACAATAACGCTTTGAATCACACGACCTTCAAAACCAAGCAGAGAGAGGTGAAATGATAAGTCTTATATTTGATTAAAGATGGGTGGTGATTGTGAAGGAGGCCTTATATTGTAAAAGTTTCAATTAATTAAACTGCACTGTGCTTGAATTCACTCTGTAAATGCGCCTTTTGTAATGCTGTGGAACAGATATGTTAAGTGTTTAAAAATTTTTAACAAATTCTCTCTCCAAATAATGTGCTGATCCCATCTCTGCTGCACAGGTGATTCAACTGAAAAATATCAGATAATTCTGTGCCTTTCTATTGTGGATGCAATGCTACACATTCACTAAGAAAATATAATAAAATCTAAATACGAAGTCACTCTGGCTGAACTGCAAATCGAACGTTAATAGAATAATACTGTTCCGACAGACAGCGCCGAGCATTATTGTCTAAAGTTAGGTAAAGGGTAATTAATTTGGCAGTAAATCATTCAGTGTTTTGGGGACTCTGATGAGAATTGTAAAATTAATTTATTTTTGCTCAGACATCCCCCGGCCAACCCCCCCTCTTTTATGCCCCCCCCCCCCCCCCCCCCCCCCCCCCCCTCCCCCCATCCCCACTGTCTGTGTGAAAATGGAAATCTGTGCCACCAGTACAATATCCACATTATGTGCCCTGACTCAACATTGTTGCATGACATGCTTGATTGTACCCCAGCATATAGGAGCAGAAATGTGTAAACATATCATTAGCACATATTAAAGTTTCTCTTTCACTTGCAATAGTGTGTAGTGTAATGAGTTTGTGGGTTTTTTTAATTATTTATTCTGTTTCAATAAAATACCTGTTAGAAACTTAGAAAAATCTTGTCCTCATGCCTAAAAACAGTAGATATACAGTCATTTCCAAATTCAAACGTGCTTTAAATACATCTTATGAAGATATATTTAGTCGTATATTTTACTGCCACACTATTTAAACTCAACCCTCAATGGAAAGTTTAAATAATGTGGCTTGAGGCTAGCAGTTCAAAATGGGTCTTATTATTGATGGTATGTCATTTGTATTGATCCGGCTTATTGTATATGTGTTTAAATTTGATTATACAGTGAGTATACAGCTGGATGTTTGCATGTTTCTCAGGATTGTGATGCAGCAATAGCAGGAGAGCAAGACAAATTATCAAAAAATAATATCTATTTAATATTATCCCTAAGTGAAGCTACTTTAATATAATCTGAAATTTTGTTTTGGAATGGATTCATTTCAACATAGTTGGAAAAACGGTTTGGTGCACGAGCTGAGTGCATGCACGTACAGTATGTCTCCCTCTCACAAAAGCATGGACTTATACACCAACTGCTAACCACTGTATGCAAAAAGATGGGAAGTCCTTGCTCACAAAGGGCGAATCAGAAAAACTGACCAAACTATAGCAATCAGAGTTGTTGTTCCCAAAAAATGGGATTAGAGTGAAGCTGAAAAATATCCTTCCTCCAAAACATCAGCTACACTTCTTTTGATAATGGCTACAAACCAAATTTAAGCACAAGAATGTTGCTTCTTCACTGGTGAACTACTCACAACCTTTGTGTCTTAATGTTGACGTGTGCTATAGAACGAGTTTTGAAAAATAAGATTATTTCATCCCAAGATGCTAGAAACTAATGCAAATCTGATAATAGCAATGAATTTCCTTTGTTGTTTTGTTGCTACTGGAGGATCTCAAAAGCAAACCATCTCTCAGAATTGGATGAAGTCCTGCTGTCACCAATAACTCAATGCTGCCACCTAGTGCTGGGACAGAAAAAAAGGGAAATTCTATAGTGTCAGCTTTATTATGTCTGCCAGCATGAGTTCATATTTACAGCTGAATGTTGAACTGGAGAAGTAGAAAAACATTATATACAAGGTGGTTCTGAGAATATTAAATTTTGTCTGGGCATAAATGTGACACCGCAGTTAAGATTTTGCTTTGTTGGTAAAAGTGTAAGCAAATGTTGCCTGAAGCGCGAGTCTGTACAATTTTAACACAAGTGTGACCGCGTTATTACAGTATATTGATGCTACTCAATGTGTTCAATATCAATATGTGTTATATGGCTTGGAGGCTGTTCTCAGTGTCAGCTGTTATCACACATGGAGAAAAACAAGATGCTCTCCTCTGCTGTACATTTTACACGCCCCCACCCCCCCCCCACCCCCCAGATACCTCAGCCCCACCTGTCTAGCCATGAGCTCAGGGTTGAAACAGAGTTCAGCCAAGTTGAGGATTGTTCTTGCTTGTTTTATCAGTGGCGTGTACCATATTTCCTGATGAAATACTACAGCCGGCATGAGATACTGCCAAGGGAGCAAGAAAACAATTGAATGGGCATTAATGATTTACATGTACATATCTGCTATAATACCAACACAGGCGGAGGTAACTGAGAGCAGGCTCTGATGGCATCATTGATGCTGCCTCAGATAACACCTTGATCATCAACTATGTATGGATCTGGCAAAAGATATAAGATAATGTCCCACTGAGAGTAGACTTTTTGCTGCTCTAATGTAGACTAGGCTAGTGTTGAGACACTGAGTCAGGAACCAAAGAAGATTCACAGAAAGCTTTGTAATCATTGACGGGAAAGTCTTAACCAAACCTGTGCATGATTGACTAAAAGTCTTGCTTCTCAGTGGAAAATAAGAGTACATGAAAAGGATTTCACATTTTAGAGAAGGCTATTATACCTTGAGCAGTTGTTGGACACCACTTATTAGAGTGACCAGCAAAGATTTTGCTTTGTGTGCGTGTCTTTAATTTTGTTCCATCATATTTTGCTTTGCTTTTGAGTCATGCTTAACTTTTTTCCAAGCAGGGACAATAGATTAATAGTTTATTATTTTGTGCTGCCTTAAAATGCTAAAATGTTATTGTTAAGTAGGAGGTTCAGAATTGATTCACTATCACCATGGGCATCGGGTCAGGATGCAGGATGAAGGAATGGAGGCCATTAAACATATATCCATTCCAACAGAAGGTTTATTCTCAGTTAATTATTTCAATATGAAAAATGAAGACATGTGGGCTGTGAACTAAAATTAGTAAAACAAATCCAAATAGTCTCACTATATACTTACAAAGACGGGTCTCTGAGACTAACAAACAAACCAACCTCTTACCAGAAACTGCCACCCCGAGTGAAGGTGAAAAAAAAAGAGTCAGTGTCTGTAGTGCCCAGGTGAACTCTATCAGGTAAATAAGGGGTGGAGGGTGAGAAAACAAGAGCCAACTGGTGATAAGGAAAGGAATGGAATTGAGGTAGGTGAAGAAAGGAAGAGGGAAATCAAAGATAATAGGGATCCTTATTACTGTTATATATTAGGTGTATGTTCGCCTTAATCAATGCATCACAGGTATGATGTACGGGATGGCTTAATAACAATTTGAAATATGAAATATTGTTGAAAAAATATAGTCTGGTTTCTGTAATGAGGACTATTGTTACCCAAATAATGGCTGCATTTTAATTGTTTAATTTAGTTCATGCAACATTATATAAACAAAGAGAAGAAGAAGAAAAATTAAAATAAAAAACATAAATTATTGGGGTTGTAGATTGTAGATTGTAGATGACCATTAGTCTTGATAGCCCGCTTTTTCGTCCATGTAATGTAGGCAGCAACTAACAATTATTTTCGGTGTCAATTAACAGTTGTTTTTTTGTTGTTTTTGTTTGTTTTTTTGATTAATTGATTTGTTGTTTGGTGTAAAAATGTAAGACAATCGTGACAGTTTTTCTGTCGATCAACTAATCTATTGATCGACCAATCGCTTCAGTCATTTTATAATACTGTAATAAATAAGTGTCATATTAGCATTGAAATTGTGCATATTAGGGTTTTATGGCTTCTGTATTTTTCACTGGCACTAACACATAGCTTTTCTGTAACTATTGTTCCACACAGTGTTTCAACTTTATGTGCAATAACAACATATAAACATTTATAGCAGATCTGTATTTAAACTGGGCTGTTTACAATCAAAGGAAATGACGTGCTAATGTTTTGAATCGTGCGGGCCAACAAGCAGCACGGATAACCACTGCATTGACCAGCCTCCCCCTACTACATTTGGGGATAACTTTGAGCTTCATGCCCCCATAATTTCTGCCACAGTAAGTTTTACTCCATTAAAAGTCGCCCCGATATAAATACCCGAGGTCGGTTTGGCAGCAAGCGTTAACCGTTAGCTAGCAGTTATTGTCCGCTAACAAAAAACCACTTAGCTAGCGCTAGTTCGCTAACAACCTACCGTTATTTCTTTCAGAGGTTACGAAGATGAAGGTGAAGCTTGTTGGTGACAGGGCACTGATAATGTGGAGAAAATACGTGGGTGAAAGAACTGTCCGAATGAGGTGGATACTAGCAAACGATGATAGCTTAGCCGTGGCGTTAACCATTAGTGGTTAAGTACCATCCGATTAGCTGTAATGCTAATGCTTGGAAACAAAACCAACGTAGCAAGATTATTATGTTGTACTACATGAGTGCGAAGCAAAAACGTTTTTTAATGACGTTAGTGACCTGCAGCTATAATATAAATGAATTACGTTGTGTAGCAAAGGCGTAAAGTAGCTTCCTCGACGAAATTAATGTCAATTGTAGCTGCATCCTGTCTTATCTTCTTCTGAAGATCTTTGTTGAAATTCATCGTGAAGTGAAAGATGTTTGTGCCAAAAAGTAAAAGCTGACCGTCGTGCTGTGACAGCAATTAGACAAGCTTTCACAACCAGGCTTTCGTAAGAGAAATGCTTTGGTAACATCCTTATGTCATTCTGAGCTGGTGGTGTGCCTTATTTGGTGCACGGATGACAACTGCTGTTTGGTTATTTGAGGTTTGCAGTCACTGCTGCTCATTATAACACCCTCCACCATCTGCTGTACCCCAACTCCAGCACTTCCTCGGCTGCACAGTAGGAGAACACAATGGACCTCCACAAAATCATCCACAGTGCGATGCATGAATTTATTCAGATGTACATTCCCGATGCAGATCTCAGGTAAACAATCCCCCCATGTGTTGCATCCTTACAGAAGGGGTCTAGTTCAATCACTTTTACAGTAACTTCTTTTTTTACCATTCAATGCAGCACACTGGATGATGTTCTTCTGTCTTACATCACTGGAGTCCTGGAGGATCTTGGCTCCCAGCAAAGTGTGGAGGAGAACTTTGACGTGGAGGTCTTCGGAGAGATGCTAGAAGCTTACATACCTGGCTTTGCAGAAATTGACAGGTAAACAAACTGCCACGCTTTTCCCTGTATTCTGATTGTATAGTGGGTGTTAAACAAGACCAGACAACTACATTACTCTGTCCTTTGGTTATTACAAAGGTGTTTTTTATTTTACAGTGTAAAAGTCTGTGAAATGATGTTCAGCTTGGCTTCAAAACTAGCCACTGCTCGCACCTCAGGTACTACCTTTATTATTATCTCTGATACAGACAGTGTTGTTGCAGTCTTAAACTTTCCAAATGGTTTCTTCATTTTCATAATATTGCCAAGAGTCATCAAAACAAAACCTTGCTGGGCAGTGACAGCCCTTAAACCATTGTGTGCTGATGATAATTTGTTAGTTTCCTTTTTAGCTGATGAAGAAAACGACGTGCCTAAGGCAACAACAGATGATATTTCATTGAAACTCACCACAATGCCCAGTGAACCTCCACCAGGAAGAGAAACACAGTGCCTTAAAACACAGACAGAGGGCGCCACTGCCAAGGTGATCATTTCAGTGCACATCAGCACATTATTTTCTTTTCCTTGATGCATTTGAATTTAGAAGTAATGTAAATGTGCATATGTCCAGCTACCAGTGTCAGAGTGGGAGGCCCAGGAGCAGCACCTGCTGGAGATGTTTCCCAAGTGTAGTCTGTCCGAGGCTCGTAGTGCCCTATCTATTGCCAAAGGAGACATGGAGGAAGCTGTCCGTCTTATCATAGAGGGCGATGTCCAACTCAGCCCCACTCCTCTTAATGTGAGTCTCTGCCAAAACACACAGAAACTCTCTCACTTTGTTTCATGTCAGCTGCTGCCTAAGTTGTATACGTCTGATTTGATGGTTTCCTGTTGCCTCAGGTGAACCATGGGAAAAGTATTTCCTCAGTGGCGGACCAGAAACTGAAAGAGAGCATCCTTGAGAAGTGAGTAAGGTTGCTATTATGCTGTAGAGAGCAGAACTGGCCTCACTTCTTTGTTTCAGTGTTTATGACTATGTTTCTCCGTAGGTACATGCTGGTGGACAGGGAGGATGACAACAAAACGCACCGGCCTGTCGCCCCCAAAGATGTAAGTCTCTGGTTATACTCCATATCCACAGTGTAACTTTATCAAATGCCTTTCATACAATAAAAACGGTGCATTCTGGTGTGATTTCTGCAGGCTCCAAAGAAGCTAGTGCGGTACCACGGTAACCAGGTGGTAACCACAAAGGGAGAGCGATATCAACTTGTGAAGAAAAACGAGACAGAGGACATGAAGAAGACATACGTCAACCTCAAGCCCGCTCGCAAGTACAGATTCCATTGATGAAGAGCACAACACTGTAAGAGCAGCTACTGACAATATTGTTTACACTATTATTGATTTATCAAGTCCATTTAGCCTAAATTTGTTAGATTTTTTTCCCAAGTAAAGGAACATATTTGTTAGTGTCAGTGGCTTATTTGAATAAAATGTTACCATTGTATGCCTTGGTTAAAACGTGAAATTACAGTGTTTCAGTTGTTCCTTTTAGTTCACTTTAGGAACTTTTGAAATTTTGTGTGATATTTTGGTGGGGATGTTGTTACTCGTGTTCCAGTTTGTGTAACAGCCTAAGCTATATACGTTTTGCCATCTCAGCAGGTCTGATGTTGCACTGACGTTACTGTTGCTTTTTTTAACCACATAACGTTTTTATTTTAATTTTTTTATCATTATTATTTTTTGTATTGTCTTTTCACGTAGCACACTAGAGATTCACAATTATGACATGACATTATAGAGATGAACCTATTTTATTTTCTGTAAATAAGTTCTAGTGGTGCTGTAAAATTTCTGGACATTACAAGTCACAACTGATTTTTATGTATATATGAAATTTAAATCATTGATGCCAATTTTATTTAAAGTTCTATTTTTACATCATACAGGAATAGTGCTGTCAAAATGTTTTGTCAAACCTTGTGTTTTGGACAATTTGTTGTGCTACAAAATTGTTTTCAGATGAAACTTTTGTCCGAGACAAATTTTTTAAAGAACATTTGTACAGCGTGAAGCCGCAGCAGTCGTCACTTAAGTGTTTAATATGCGGTCTCCCTTGGTTCACAAGAGAAAGACCATAGTCCAGATTTGTTTTTGTCACCTTCTATCATATCGCTTAGGGCAAATAAAGAAAGGTTATGTGATAATATGCAATGTTTTACACTATATAAAGTTATTTTTGTTGTTTATAACTAAAAATAGAAAAACAGAAAAACATTAACATTAAACAGTAATAGTGAAAAAAACTGAAACATGATGAGTTTGGCTCAAAGCCATCCAAAAGTGTGACTTAGAAACCTGCCGCTGCGACCCAACAGACCTGTGAGTCCTGAGCAGCGTAGTTATGATTAAACAAGGGGCAGCAATTATTTCCACACAACTTTTTAATATAATTGTATTACTCGACTGCAATGGGAAACACTATAACTATCAACAAAGTATTTGTTAATTTTCTAGCACAACAAATTCAATTCTCAAGGGGTGCACTGAGTATTACAGCACTATAAATTCTGGCATAATGAAGTGGAGGACTGTGGTTGCCCCTTAAATGTTAACCGCAACATGCTGCTGGAGGACTTGATTTTAAAGTTCATTCCGACAGCATTATCTTTATTTTTGATATAGATGTTTAGATTTGCAAAGTCTCAGATCATGCATTTTAGTGTGAAGAGGCACTGTTTTGTGCTTTCAGGGTCCATTTACATGATGTTACTAATGTGGTCCTCTTGGCTCCTTTCATCTCATTTGTGTGCTGTGAATTTTGCTCCGCTTGTGATTGTTGGTTGTGGTATTTCAGATTGTGATTGATTATTATTTCTTGTTAATTGTATATTAGGATAAATGGGTTGGTCAGGTTTTTTTTATTTTTTTTTATAGATATACCAGGTGTTTATTTGTGTTCCCTCCTGCATCCATTTGGAGCAACTATAAGCAATTGTTTTTGATTGGTGGTATAATATAGTTTTCCAAAGTGTAGGTGTAACACAATCAAGTGTTAAAAAGATGTGTTGTTACTGATACTTGTCATTATCAGCAGCAATGTTGTCTTCAATTACTAAATGATGGTGTTACAGTAGAGCATGGAACGGGTTTACTGAAGCTGTTTAGTCACAACTGAGTTTTAACCCCTCGCTTTGAGAAACCACTGACGCACAATTTGTAGTAAATAAATACTAATTTTTGTAGACTACCATTCCGATTGTATTCTTTGATTTATTCACTCATGTTACAGAAGGGACTAATTCAAGAACTCATCACATCTTTCCGCAGTCATTAAAAACTCAGCAGTGTAGAACTTCACAAACAAACTTTAATCAGAGGAACAAGGTGAGCACATACTGTAAGTTCAAAACAGAAAACCGGCATCCATCAATAAAAACATGCCTCTGGCTCTATGAACCCTTGACACGCTCACCTTTTTAAAGCTGTTTAATGCTAGAGTGAAAACAAACATTTTTGACCATAAAATAAAAGTTTATAAAAATGAAGTTCTTGCAACATTTAGTGCCATACTCATGTTAAGCAAGGCACATACAGTAAACAGGGTAAATCTGGCAAAATAAAAAGAGATGACAGTTGATCAGTTTTATGTAAGGTAAATTCTTTTACATTGGAAGTAGCACTGTTCAGTCATCGTGCAGTCTGTAAGAAAAACATGCACCTTATCAGCACTTTAAAAGTTGAATCTTAGACAAAAAAACCATTGAAAACCTGTGTTTTCAAGGTGAATGAAGTGCTTGGATGTTCTTATTTTATAGTACACCATTTACTGATTCATCCACATGTCACAGGCAAACAAAGATGAAGATACCCTTTTACTGGTTTGTATGTTGGGTTTGCCACATACAACGTAACATATGAAATTATCCTCCCCTTCTGTTTTGATGTTCATTTTTACAGTTTGACAGAGCACTTTCAACTGGCACAGCGACGGCTATCTTTCAAGTTGCTCTCCCTTCAAGGTCTTCAAAATATGGCTGCATGAAAGTAGAAACAAGTGCATTTCTGATTGTTAACTTATAGTCATCATTAGAGCAAGTACAGGTTTTCAACTGGAATTCCACTTTAGTACACAATGCAGCAAAATCTAATCTCAAATCTGCTGCATTTAATACAACATTTAGAATAATTGTAAAACTATAGTGCATGGACGTGATACATCAAGCTGAACATGCAACTGCAAACTTGAACACTAGATGGTGCATTATGTTGCAGTGCAATGGCTGATACATAAGCGACATCCCAGTTGATGGCCCAGCTAATTCAGACAGTTAATAACATTTTCACATCAATCTATCACTCAAGCCGCTCACTTAAAACCACTTTTACACTCAAAACAACATATTCCCAAGAAAACATCATCTTTAATTACTGTTGTATTTTCTTTTGATTCTGAAAGTGAACTGTATTTGCAACTAAACAACTAAACGCTTCCCAACCTGTTACTGGTATGCAGGATAACAATTCCATAAAGTCCTTGAAATATAAGTCAAACAAGCAAGACCATAAATAAAACACAAAGCGATCACTCTGCTAAAATAATTTAGCTGCAAGCCATCACATATTCCTTCAGCTGAATATATGAACGCCCTTTTTGTACGCCCACACATATTTCTGATCATATTTCACCACTGTTTTTAATCACTGTAAATTCTGTCTTTCACTACTGTGCCTATGCTGTGTTCTTTGCAACAGAAAATTCTCTCTGATCACTCCCTGAAACCATGTCATTTGTGGACGTAGAGATAATGTAGATTACACAGATAAATATTCCAAAGACACTTAAAAAGACCTGTCACCTTTGCAGGTATGAATCTTATCTGCTGTTAAACTGTCTCTGCGATAAAGACAGAATATAATATGGTCACTCCACATTTAATAATCAAGCCACAACTGTGTTTTTACATGTATCTAAGAAATGTCCTGTATTTGGCTGATGTCTACTTTATATATATATATATATAATACCCATTGACTCATCCATTAGTGGTCAAAATATTGAGGTTGCTCCATAGGTACCGATCTCACTTGTTTACTGACTGGGTGAGCAAATACACCCAAATAACCATTAACTTCAATTATGAGACTGTTGACAGAACACTGAATCGCATTAACATATCTAGACTTGAGCCAGAAGAGAAAGGGCCTCTTCAAGTCGGGCGAATTCCCATGAGCCATTCAGATGCTTCTTCTCTAACTGTCGTATTTGCAATGACAATGGCACTCGGAGACGACTGAAGCAGAATGGTTTCAAGATGGTCGCTTATTTGCCATGCAGTGATATGTAGCTCCAAAGTCAGGATGCGCATTACACACGCAGCAGTCTCACTTTCACACGCATACAGTTTCCGAAGCAGTCCAGTCAATGTTTTTCAAGGTGGGGCTCTAACTGTGATCCTGCTCATATCGCCCCTTGATCATCGTTTTCAATAAAGGTCCAACCTACAGGAAAACAAAGTAATCTTGGTTAGTATAAGCTACTTCATAGAGACAAATTACATTGTTTTATTCGTTGTCCCAGACCACATATATCTTTCCTTTTGTACTAAATCAGGTAAGCCATAAATATTCGCAGTAATTGGGTTGCTGGAAGGGTCAGCATGCCCCAGGGATTTGATCTAACAGGTGACCTAAATGTGGATCTGATTTGATGTTCTAGAAACTGGCAGTGTGACATTCATGTCTAACTTATGCATCAGTACACTGATGACACGAAAGAGTTTGTATTGTAAAGAGGATATAACATCAAATGCTTTTACCTCATGTGGGTCTCCAAGTGCTTCTCCCAGCATCTTCTCAATATTTCTCATGATGGCCACCTTCTGGTGAGCTCGCAGAGGGTATTCTATCCTCTTGGGTGTGGGGGCGCCCTGAACAGATGAGTCAAACTGGTGAGTGCTCATGAAGGAAATACCAACATGTAGAAGGAAAGACAAGATGATTGAAATATACCTACTTTGTACCAGAAGTTTACAGTGATCGTCACTCCACCGTTCAACAGTGATTCAATGTGATGCCACCTGAAGAAAATAAAAAATACAAATAAGTGCATTAAACTCAACTTATCTCAGCTGGCTCGAAAACTCATTTTCTGCAACTTCAAAAATACAAATGACCAAATATTTAATGTCATTAATATGAATGCAAGCGGAAAATACTCTTGATGCGACAATACATTTTATGAATTTTAGTATTCAAATGAAAATGTCCCATCAAAAGTATCTTTGTTAAATGCTGTTTTCTTTTCGCTCATAGTATACCAATACCAAAGGTTGGCTCTTTTTAAGGCATACCTATTTCATCATGTATATGCAGGTATGTCTTTATTTTGAAAATTCAAACCACAATAATTCAACCAACACAACTGAGAAACCATCATTTCTCAATAACCTGCATGTTATCATCTAAAAATCATAATGTTTTTCATCGTACCTCTAAGGAGTCATTTGTATCTGAAAATAAGTTCAGATTTGGGGTTTGGCACAAAAAAGTCTTTGTTGTGTTCTTGCTAATGGTGAATAAAGCAGCAGGTTTGGACTTAGTCACCAAACTAGCATCCGTATAGCTTACTGTAGAGCTAAAGCTTGTGCAAGTAGGTTTTCATCTCTAACGTGTGCTCATTACCTCTGTTGGGCCCCACCCAGTAAACTCATCAACACACACCAGTGACTGTTATGTATATTTCTATTTTTTTCTCAGGGGTTAACAGTGTTGTAAAAACAACACCAAATTCCCTGCACTCACTGTAGATTCATACTCCAACACATCAGCTTCATTACTAACAATTATAACTGCATGATAGTAACTTTTGACAGCACAAATGTCTTTTCTGACAACATACTGAGCTGTTTAATATCATACTGAAATACAGAGAGCATGAAAACACATCAGCTGGCAGGAAATCCAAGAAAATCAATGCCCAAGAAATAACCTAAGTTAGTATTAGAGCTGTTTTTTCTAACAGGTTTCTAAGTAAATAATGTTATTAGACATCATTTCTACACACAAGTCATCTATATGTACTTCTTACCAATACATAGGGATGTAGAGCACATCTCCTGGGCCCACAATAGCCTCATAGCCAACAACGTTTTTAAAATTGGGAAACCTCTCATAGTCCGGGTTATCAAAATCCACCTAAAGATGAAAAACATGCATTCATTACACAACATGTGGACATTTTATGAAGGTAACTGAACTGAACTGTTGTCACATAAATAAAGTCCACATTATCAGACCCAGGTGGATGGCTTACTTGACTCTGTCTGTCACAGGGGTGATGCACAGGGTACGGATAGAGACATTCGAACTGGTCTGGAGGGAAGAGGATACATCTCTTATGTCCTTTGATCTGTGCAAAGAAGTTCTGCTGCTCGTCATAATGTGCTGGCGTCACGTTGCCTAAGAAAAAATGCAATTAGTAATACAAAAGAAGCGAACACGTCTATAATTAGAGAGGTGCTTTAAAACACTCAGGCCTGCAGACATAACATTTTAGAGCAGACACTGCATTCCTCATACAGTGAATTCCTTACCCTCCATGCCTATGAGCAGCAGGTTAGATGTCAGCTGGCCCCAGTTTCTCTTGGCTTGCTGCTTGTTGATCCAGTTCCAGTTGAAACCAAGGAAGTCAACAACAATCTTCTTCCCTACTGTGTCATTCAGAGTCTGCTGCAGATATACTCTTGAAATGCACGAGAAAGGAGATGTGCACAATGTATGAGACACTTTAACATTGTGAGACCTGAAACAAGTCGCAATGCAGCTCATTTTCAAAATCGCTATAAATGTGTCTGCAGGATATAAGATTTGTTTACAAGGTGGTTGTGTTTCCGTATATTATGTTCTCCTTTCAACTGTGAGGAACAACATGACAGAGAGGGAAGTGCACAGTGTAAATTCAAATAGATCACAGCCACTGTGAGTGTCAGCGAGTTAAAGAGTGAGTTCTCTTTAGTAAGTGATATGTGTGCGTGCAGCCAGGCAGAGTCAGGTCACAGGACTGGGTTTCACCCCCAGCTCTCCGGTGTAAATGCTTAGTCATTTGCGAAACTTCCCTGTGCTGCATTTCATTTCATAAGAAAAAACACCCGTCACTGTCAACCACACCTGCAGCACAATCACAATCACAAACTGATAGTTAGGTATTTGAGCTTCAAAGAAAGGAGTTTAATTAGACTGAGTCAGGCAGCGTTAATATAAACATATCTTGCATCATAGTCCTGTTAAATACAGAAGTGCAGAGCTCCAACTAAAACATCCTTACAAATAAATCTTACCTTTCCTCTCCTCCCATTTCCTCCGTTTTATGCATTTTATCCACAAATTCAGAGAATTTCATTTCCATTCGTTGTGACTTGGGGACAAAGTTCTCAAAATTTGACATTTTCTTCTCATCATAGTAGAGAAATTTGTGATTTTCCGCAGTGTAAACAGAGAAGTCTCCATTTCCAATGTTCTCCAGGAGGTATGCAATGTCCCATTTGAGAGCTGGATACACAAGGTTTGTATCCGTTAAAACCACTGGTTCCTGAAAACAGATAAAGGACATTATAGTATTAATGTAGCGCAACGGTATTACTACAAAAATGACATTTGTTTATTTTAGATGATTAGCCTATACTCTAAGTAATCATGCACTAAGGAATAATCGCTGCAAGAAATCTAGAAAAGCTATATCACTGCTTGGTGACACTTATTTTAAAGCAACTGTTCTTTGTTATATTTCATAAATATTGTTATTATTGTATAATTATGTTTTATTAACTACAGTTGCACAAAACTGCAATTAATAATTTTGACATATAATACTATTGCTGTGCTTCATAAAATAGATGCAATATAATTAACAAATGCAAAAAAAATCCCTTTTTTTAGTTTACATAAACATTAACATTTGCTGCATGTGCATCATCTTGATTGTGTCACAATGTTTTTCTTGAATAACCCTTAAAACAAAGAGGAACGTTAACTCCCAGCACACATAAGCGCAGTACATGGATAGTGCAGTGTGTGGCATTGGACACACCGAGTTGCGAGGGCTACGTGACTAACTGAACGTAGACCGGTGAGCGCGCTCCCGCTGCCAGCCCGTCTCTCATGCACCGGCTCTCGGTTTCACTTTCGCTGATGCGCGCGGGGAGTATGTGTGGGGTACCGAGGAGTCGAAATGGTGTCAGAAAAAAAACGAGCGCCGTCGATTAACTTTAATGTGTTTATATGTAGCAACTTTGGTCTTGGCCCGTGTTCAAGCAGCGGCTTCTTCTGGGTCTTTTGGTCTCTTCGCGGCTGCTTTGAAACGACAGGTCACACGGGATGCACTTCAAATATCGGTCTTTTCTTTTTCTCTCTCTTTCACGTTTTGTGTTCAATCTAACATCTTGATACGACTTGCAGGCAGCAGGCAGTTGACAGTCGACGTTATCAAGCCATATTTGGACATATCTGACCACTCCTCAAGTCAAACAAATAGCATTCGGCTTTTAGCCTGTTTTAAATTCTAACTGCACTCATGCAGACTGTGCCTTCTGTAGTGAAAAGAAGGATAGGTGGTTAATATTATGTTATGTCCAATAATTACATTCATTGATTAGATCTTTACTGTCATTGTGTTCAGAACAATGAAACTGTTTAGCAGCTCTTCAGCTGTGTGCAGCAAAAACATTAAAGCAAAAACATTAAAGTTCAATCAATAAAAGCAAAAGATATACTGAAGCAAGGAGACAAAGTGACCTAAATAGTACAGTAGGAGAAAAGTAGCAGCTTGCATGGTGGTATGTGCAATACTGCAATATGGGCAATATGACAGTAGGTCTGAACAGTTAATCGAAAAATAAACAAAATCGCAATATGGCCAATATGGGGTGCAAACGTAGGGTGGGTTGGGTCATCAGAGGTGGTAGTTGTCCTCCACCACCACTTGCAGATCCCTCTGGTCTTCCACAGTACAACTGCCACACCACACTATGCAGCAGTAGCTCAGGAGGCTCTCAATGGTGGTGCAATAAAAGTTAACCAGCAGCTGCTGTGGGACATGGGACTGTTGTAACATCCTAAGAAGTACAGTATAATCTCTGCTGGGCCTTTCACCTGGTGAGAGATATCTACGGACCACACCAGGTCTGCCGTGATGTAGACTCACAGGAATTTTAAGTTCTCCACCCTCTCTACCTCAGCTATATAAATATTAATTGTACATGATAACAAACCATTAGTATTCTTACTCCTGACTGATTTTATGCTTTTCATGGCGCTGAAAATTTATATTTATCTGTTAACATTTTAGTACAAATTATCTCAAAAAATATTTTTTTCTCAAAGCAACGCAAGGAAAGTTCCAATTTAGTCAAATCAGCACTAGTTCAGGGTTAGGGTTATCACTACATGAAACAACTTTTAAAAATTTGGTTTTGCAATCACACTGAAGAAATATTCTTCCCATAACATGTTACAAAGAAGTTGCCATTTCGATCATGTGTAAAAATGTTTTTCACTTCACCTGAGCCACATTTCATCCTCACAAGTTTCAAATGGGGCACGTGGGTTAATTTTAGAAGATTGTAGTGTCACTATCCTTGTGAACCATTTGTCATAGGTTAGAGTGCAATGCAATCATTAAAAGCCAAATGGAAAAAGAGAAAATAGTTACTGAAGATGACACATTTCTAGTCCTGCGTATACTACTGATGACTAGATAGAGCAGAGAGTGTCATTTCGACTAATGCAGAATCTAATTTGCTCTGTTAACACATCTTTTGGTCTATATCTGGTTGAGACATACTGACCTATGTGAAAATGCAAACCTTAGAAAACAAGCAGATTCTAACTTCTAGATATTACTCTGCACAAATTACAAATTTCCTGTGAGGTAAAATTAAAGCCATGAGAACTTTTTATGGTGGGGTTAAGTGTTTGTCATGTCTTCTCAACAAGACATGATAACAAATAGCAAGTTACAGCACCTATGTCATTTGGCTTCTATTGAAGTAATGTATAAGACTGCTAATTTCCCCACCAGGAGACATCTGTACAGGCTATTGTCTATGTAAAACAGGTAGACAACCTTCCTGGGAAAGGCTCCAGCTGACAGACACTGAATGAAAATAATGAGAGATGGAATGAGGTTTGTTTCCTCAAATGAATAAATTACAATCATGCATTTTTTATTTTTATTTTTTGCATTATTTTTACCAACCTTCAATGCATTATGAAAAAGTACCACTCATAATTATGTCATCCAAACAGAAGGTACCTGCACATTAAAAACACATAGAGCCAACATTTCAGTTGGATTTGTCATGCATACATTAAAATCACATACAGTAGAAAAAAAGATCTCTATTCATTGTGCTGCATGTCTGAGCACAATGATGTCAATAGGCATTTGCAAACAGATGTGGAAGGCAAACTACCCGATGTGACAAAACTGACTGAATTTCCCTTGAACTTGAGTCCAAATGGGCTTTGCAATTTTATTATGCTGCCATTTCCAAAAGTATAGAAATAAATAAAGTCATCCTTCCAGTCTTTTTTTTTTTTTTTTTTTTTTTTTTCTTACAGCTAAAAAACCAAATATTTGATTGTTCCAGCTTCTCAAATGTGAGAATTTGATGTTTGTCATAGAACGTGATTTTAATCTGAATATCTTTGTGTTTTGGACTGCTGGTCTGAAGGCATTATTTTACAATTCTCTTACATATTATTGACTAAACGCATAATCGATTATTCGAGGAAATAATCGTTCTATGCAACCCTCATTTAGATTTTACTTTCATTTTCAATACCTCTTTATGCATCAATAACATATGGTTCAATAATGACTGTTTTTGGCTTAATATAATTTTCAAGCTCCGGCTGCTTGAGTCAAACTTCTGAAAACAGGGTTTGAGGTGCAGCTCTAACCATGGCTTCCTCTGCGGTTCAAGTGAACTGATTAATTCAACTGATTAATCGATATGAAAAGGGCTGAGAGCTTTTCATTGATAGGGCAAGTATGGTGAGTTAAAAGTTTCAGCATGCAAACTTTGCAGGCTTACCTCGTTATTAATCAGCATCTCTGCTCTGGGGTCCGTGTGAGACAGTCTGGGGATGGGTTTGGTTGGGAAAGAATATTTTCGGAGTTGCGATTCATCCCAGTCCCTGCTCTGGACGCCGGAGAAAGCGGCGCCTCCTTCGCTCGTCGCCGGATCAGCCTCCACAACGGTCGCTGCTGCCATGGTCGTCGACAGGCGCTGACGAGCTGCCTCCTCCGTCCCCTTTGCAAACAATGAAACAACCAGGACTGGCTTTTCTTCCGGACTCTACCTTGCTAGGCTACCGAGTCAGCAGAGGGTATATCATGCAAGCTTTCCCATTCACAGCTGATGAATTAGCAAAGGAAATCTGCGCGGTCCTGCCGCCTGCAGCCCTTCTCCTCGATTCTGTTCCGTGTAGGTGTTTACACACCGTGTTGACAGCCAGAAAACAAACGACACTAACTAAACTAGTCAGGAAGGCACTTCGATAATTTGATGCCCAAAATATCGGACAGCGACACTTAGTGCACTGGGTGACAAAATGCTCATATTGTAATAATTTGCCTCCACCACTAGAGGGAGGAATTGCACTTGCTTTTATTGTATTTCAGACAAATAGTTGTCAAACAGTCAATTAAATCGTCAGACACATTTTAAGTCGCCTTAATATGTCATCCTTAAATATAGTCTTTAAGTGTAACCAGCACCTGTCGGTATCAGTAATGAATCTCCAAATATAAATGCTATATTCTTAAAGTGGCCATTGTACATGATAAGTAATTTTACTTTTGATTCATTAATTAGATTTTTGTACTTTTACTTGAGAAATTTTTGAATGCAGGACTTGCACTTATACAAGGGTCTTTTTAAACAGTGTTATCAGCTGTTATTATTTTTTTATGAAGAATACATATTTTTGTATGTATGTAGGAAATACAATCAGTAGCAGTAACAGGTGTGAGTAGTTCCTCCACAACATACCGTTAAAGTTGGTTGGACTCAAACAAACAATACTGCATTTCACCATTTTTGTCTTGGCACGACACAATAGCCCTAATGACATCTTTAAAATTACTGTTTTTGCTCCAAATCAGAGTAATTGGCAGGGAAATACAGGGACAGGAAATAAATGCTTATTTTAGAGTCAGAATTGTGTTTATTTGACAAGGAGTTTGGGTTCTCCAGGTCACAATAAACATATAATATCATTCATATCATAGACCTAATAATAATTTGAATAGGGATTTTGGATTAGTACCTATGTAATCAACAACAAAATAAGAATAGAAACACTGATTGCACTGGAAGCACTGTGGAAACCAGTACAAAAAGATGAAAAACATACACATTTACAGCTGTAGGGAATTTTACATTGAATTCTGAGTGATCATGTCAAAAGTTGCATACTGGGTTGGACATTTTTTTAAGTTAACTCAGGTATTGTATTTAGGTACACTTTTGAGGCACTTTAACTTTATAAGAGTATTTCAATCTTGGTATTCATACTGCACTTCTACTCCACTACATTTCAGAGAGAAATGCTCCATGTTTTACTCATATCATCAGTTTCACAACATTTATTCCACCGGTTTAGTGACAGAATACTTGTCACACAAAAGTTTACATACAAAATGTTTATAGTTAATAAAGTATGTGCATTGTAATACTTTAAACTACACAAAAGAACTTCAACCAGCCTCTATGCATACATGTTAATGCATCAAATAATCCAATAATATAATAACTAATATGACATTGACAGGGCCTATTCTGTAGTTACCCCCAGTCTATTTGTCTTTCTCTCTTTGAGAAGATATGGTAATGACAGACTGAGCAAACACTTTTGAAATCCTGAGCCAATATTTAACTATGGTCATCATAGCCTCAGCAATACTGTATTGATCACTGGGCGATCATTCTTCATGAGATAGCAGATAGCAGTACACACTGTACCTTGCACAGTGGAGTGATCAGCTGATGGAGCCTTGCTCGGTTTCATCAATGTCAGACTGCTATTGAACTAGATGGGGTACATGTTATCAATCACTTTGATCATTGTGTTTTTAACCTATTGGTGACAGTTATTAAAGCCACAAACAGCCATAATTCTTGTGGCTCAGAAGTACAAAGACATTTCCTAAAATAAATGTCAATGTATTTGCTGTCCTTCAGCTGCTCCCATTAGAGGTTGCAACAGCAGAACGTCATCTTCCTGATGTAACCCTGGGTTTGAGGAGTCAGGAATCAAACGACCAAACCAGGGATCAGTGGCCAACCTGCTCTACCACCTAAGCCATGGCCCCTTATTTCCTAAACATTTTGTAAAACCTGATAAATCTTGTATGTTTTCTCTTGAGTCATGCTTTATCAGCAGATTTCCACCTCAGGGACTAGTTTAGGCTCCCTGGTGAGTTCCCATGCTCCGTGTTTCCTGTGTAGATCAGCGGGCTGAGCTGAGCTGATCTGATCCCTCTGATGCTCTGCTCCTCTCCATTCTTTGCAGATACCCACAGCCAGGAGATTGACCACCCTGGTGAGCCCCAAGAAGCTTGTATCTCAATCCTGCTGATAGCAGCAAACACACACACCACTGCTGTCTTCTCCCCAACAGATGGACTGATGTCAAAACAACGACTCTCTTGAGGAGCTGCTGTTACAATTAAACATTTTCCTGATGAGTGCAAGCATCCAATAACTGCTGCAAACATCCAGTTTATTGAGCTCATAACTGATGCAATAATTACCAACAAATCAACATAACTACGTAGCCTCAGATTTCACTGACTTTTCTGTAGTGGACACCCCATTTATCTGCACTCATCTGTATTGGCTTTCTCTCACATTCATACTGACCCTCGCCCCTCTGGGTGTTGTAGGTCCAGAACCCTTAAGCCATAAATCCTATTAGTCAAGGATTCTCTGAAGCATTATAAGTCGTCTTTCCAACTTTTAGTGATTGCATTATCACTCACTCCCTGAGAGAAATCAGCCACCTCTGTGTGATTTTTATGTTGCATGAATAATCTTTTCAGGTTTTCCTCCCCTTCATCTGTCTGTCCCATTCTCATGAAATTTCTTCCAATTTCTCCAAATCTATATTGTGATTGGTCAGCTTGTAGCTGTGCTCTGCTTGGTTGAGTCAAAATGCTACAAATCGACCAAAATCAGAACACAGCTACAAACCGACCAATCAAAACATGGCTACAAATCAACCAATCAGAATGCGGCTACAAATTGACCCATCAGAATTGGCTACAAATCAAACAATCACAACATTGCTAAAAATCAACCAATCAGAACACAGCTACAAAACGACCGATCAAACCATGACAACAAATCAACCAATCAGAATGTGGCTACAAATCAGCCAGTCAGACCAATCAGGCTACTATCGACCAATCAGAATACGGATACAAATCACATTAAGGGAATTTCTTTTTGGCACAAACATTCACTTGGACTCAAGGATGAACTGATTAGATTTTGGTTGTCAAAGGTCAAAGAACAAGGTCACAGTGACCTTACTAAATATGATTTTTGCTTGTGAAGATAATATCTCCCAAACTCCTCAAAGGAATTCCTTCAAATTTGGAACAAACTTTCACTAGGAAACAAAAACGAACTGATCAGATTTTGGTAGTCAAAGGTCAAACAAACAACAAAAATCATTTTTTAGCCATAACTCAAGAATTCACACAGCAATTATGACAAATTTGTACATAAATGGTTAATATTTTATATGATTCATGATAAATAGGGATCTAATCTGAAGCAAGTTTGAGTGGTGGAGGCATACGACAGTGAGCCGGTTATTCTAGTTTTCTCTGTATTGTAATAGTTGCATGCTACGGAGCCACAAATTTATTTTAATCAAAAACAAAACACTCAATTTCACCTCTGACCCAAAACTGAAAAATTTGATGGCAATTCTCTTTTGACACTGCCACCAGTGTATAGTACAAACCGTGTAATCGAGTAATCTCTGCTGTTTCTGCAGGAGATCAAACTGATTATATGAGAGAAATCATCTGCTCCAAAACCCACTCTTCCTCTTTGGTGTCGTCTCTCTCCCCGTCACTTCGGGCTTATATGTTATTGCAAATTGGACGTGGCAGGGCCGGCCTGAGAGACGGAAGTTCAGACCCTTCGGTCAGAGGTCGTGTCACTCTCTGGGTGGGGGGAAATTGCATGTCTGAGTCATGATCAACGTTAGGTGCTGTTTCACACACCGTTACATGTGTACCATTCGGTTCATCTCCTTTCCCTACTTGCGGGGGTGTGGTGATGCATTTGAGATAATGACACCAACAGAGAGAATGTGATAAACAAAGAAAAAACTGAGAGTAATAGAGACAAAAGATCATTAAAAAAAACATGTTGCATGTTTTGTATGTCTGCAATTCAGGCTTTTGCCTCAAACTGTAGTCTCTGCTTGTTCATTTGAATCTCATAGCTTTATAGTGGTCTGTTACGTAAAGACAAATACAGTACAGCAGGGTACAGGGTCAGGTTACAGTGGTAATCTTGTGCAATGTAAGCATTAGTCCTTCCAAAGTCAAGATTGTTTTGCTTTTCTCAGTTGAACCTGCAGTCCAGTATCTGATGTAAGGTCTCCAATTGAAGCATAGTATTATCCACACACGCAGCCTACCTGAGCAATGCCGTCTCTTTCATCTCTGCTGCTGAGGCACAATCTTGACTGAATAAGCGAACAGTGTCACAGGTCTGCAAAAGTGCTGAACTTTAAAATGGCCATACGTGTTTTTCCAATGTGGGTTTCCAACACTTTGACTGACTGCTGTGTCGTCAGGTTTTTTTTTTTTTTTTTGTGTGTGTGTTATTATTTTTACATGTGGGTACAAGTAGGATATTTACTGCTGAGGCTGAACCACAGCATAAAGAATGACTCACATAGCTAATCAAAGAAAAAGTCCAAATAGAATCGTTGCATCCTGCATAACCTTAAAGTTACTTTGTTAACTTTAACCTAAAATGTTCTGTATGTCCTAATTCTACTTTTTTGCATTAAGCTTAAAATATTGTGAGTGAACATGTTGATGTGCCTTTGTTGTACTCCCAATCACTGTAAATTGCAGAACTTCGACAGAGCCGCAGGGCAAAAGCTTGGTATGCTGGTTCTTTTGTTGGTGAGAGGGTTTTGCTGCATGCCAGGCAGAGCAATCCAGCCGGCCCACAGGGGTCACCAGAGGAGGGAGGAGTTTTGATTATGATCATTATTTGGTAAATAAGATGTCAACAAGGTGTTTCCTTGACACTTTATTGAGTAAAAGGAGGAAGGTGCAGAAATGAACGCCCCCTTCTCAATGGGACCTCTAATCTCCTCTTTCATGTCCCATCTCCTCTGAAGGGTTTCGGCTTCAGCTGCCATGTGCTAGTCTGCCTGGGCCTGGCACTTCTTACTTGCAGGTGGGGTGAGTATCCTGGCAAGCATGTGTTTATAAAACCCACTTGTTTGGGCACAATACTTGAACTAACTTCTTTTGAGCGAACAGTGTGAATCTGTGCAAAGCCTTTTCCCAAAGTCCTTTAGAAGGCGACAGCCCATTGAGAGTAGAGAAGAAGGGATTACCTTCCTCGACAGTGGTGCATTTCCGAGAGAGCTGATTAGCTCTGCATTCATTGTTAAATCGAGCAAAGGAAGGCCCTAGAGGAGTGAAAGGATCCAAATAGGTGGGCCCAGAAATAAAACAGCCGCAGGAAGCCCTGCACAGGCAACCCAAAGTTTTCCCAACATTTCTTTTCCCCACTCCTAAGGAGGTGCGGCGTGAAAAAGGAGATTAGCATACAAAATTAGAGGCGGGATGATTTTTAAGGGCAACTTGCCTCATGCCCTCCACCCCCATGGCCCTACTCTGTCTGGACAAAGTTAATTAAACCAGTATTAAACAGTAAAGAAACTTCCAAGCGCTTGGGAGTTAGGGGGCTCTTTGAGGATTACCATGATGAGGGAGAGAACGGGAGGTATTTGTTGAGGCGAAATTGAGAAAGGCGCGATGGAAGGAAGAGTGCGCTGGAAAGTTTTCTATTCTTGTTGCTTTGGCACGGAGTATCCTAACCCCAATGTGAACAGTGAAGAGTGTAAGGTTGTGTTTACTGCAGGCCATCAGGTATTACTGTCACAAAGAGTATGTCAAAGAAGGATGAGCACTCTCTTCAGGCTGTGTGATATATAAGATTGAAGGATTTATTATTCTTTCATTACATTTTAATAGAAAACAAACCACAATGGCAACTAACAATAAAGCAAAACTAGGAAATGCTGTGCAATAAATTAACAATGTACAGTACAAAGTGCTTCATTTTATGTACAATTAAATACATAAAGGGGGCGGCAAAGGTCAGGGCGAGCCAGACAATGGGAGAGCAGACTGTGACCGAAAATGCCAAAATGTTTCGAAACAAATTCAAAGCTTGGCAGTGGCGCTTGGCTGATAGTTGTGGGAATACAATCCAACGGATTCTTGAAAACTGTGATTTTTAAAAGCTATCTATGCCATCAATCAAAAGTCAGATCATCCATCGCTCCAAAAATAATAACTGTTTAATTTTTTCCCAAGGTTTGTGTGTGTGTGTGTTGAAAATAAATAAATCATGTTATGGAGAATTTTGAAGTCAAAGAAACTATCTTCAAATGCCCAGTGACTTTTCTTCAAAATGTTGTAAAAAGTATAAAAAAATATATCTTAAATACATTTATACCAAAAGTACCCTTCTCATCTTCTCTATCATGTGGCTTTGTGCACATCCCACTGTCTTTAATGTTTAATACAAAATTTAAAATGAAGATGGTCTGAAATAGCTACGTTTTTGTCCAAAACACACTATCTGAACATGCCATGCAGTCTGGGTGCTGAGAGGAGCTGCAGTGGTACAGCAGGGGAGAGGTGATGAAGATGCTCAGTGCTTCTTCCTCAGCCTGAGGGTCTTTCGGCGGCTGCCGGCACTCTCATTCCTTCCCCTCTGACCTCCTTTCTTTACGCAGAAGTACTTGGTCACTGTCTTTCTGCACTGCTCACACTTCACCGCGCAGCACCAGTGGAATTTACAGTTACAGCTGGACACCATCTCGGCTTTGCGCTCCTCCACAGCCAGCCCGCACTCTCCGCACAGCCTCTTGCAGCTCCGCTTCTCCCATTTGCTCAGGTTCTTGCCCTTCTTGAGGCACTCGCGGCCCTCTGTGCCTGGCAAGCCCAGAGTGCGGTTTTCCAGGCAGTAGTCAGGGGAGTCTTCGAGGTGGACCAGCTCCTTCCGAGAGATGGAGCTAAAGGTCTCAGCGATAGCCCCCCGGCTGGCCGCGCTGTTCCCCGCTCCCCGGAGGAGATCCACTTTCAAAGCCCTGTGGTACTTCTCCTTCAAGTAGTTGCCCACCTCCCTGAACTCTGGGAGCTGCAGCCAGCAGGTCTGAGTGGTGCAGCTTCCTGACACGCCGTGGCACTTACATGTCCTCTGCATGGTCCCCTTCACAGCCTGGAGAGGCAAAGAGAGAAGATTCACTTTACTTTACAACAATGTTGAAGAATTTTATGTTTTTCTCCTGGTTTCATATGAAAAACAGGGGCAAAATATAAAGAAATAGATGCTGTGGCTGTGAGTATGCACGCGTACATATGTCTATAGGTATAAATGTGTGTGTAAAAGACAGGATGTCCATTGTCTCTTGACTGATGTGTTGTCAAATTAACCGATTGTATTCTCAAAGTTTTCCAGTTTAGTAAAAAAAAAGGGATGAATACACTGAAAGGAAGAAATGATAGCTTCAAGGTCCATTGCTGAGTTTCTTTGTCGTCCTCAGTGTTTCCTGACTTTACCCGACACAAAACAGCTGTCGGTTGAAAAGGAACGTTTTCTTTTCGTGAGGGAGGGGATGAACTCTCTGTTGAGGTGAGGCTGAATCAAAGTTTCACATTGAGTCCTATTGTCCCCTCAGAAGAAATAGGAGTATTTATTTAGCATGTTCATTATCAACATGTTTTCTAGTGTGAGAAGACCCAATGGAGAGTCCCATTGAGTGGAGAAATGAAAAAGGAGTTTTTCTCTCTTTCTGTCCCCATTTTTTTCTGTTACAATGATGCTCCAGGTGCCATGGGGATCCTAGGGCCCAACAGGAGGGAGCAAAGGCACCGTAAACAAAGAGCACTTCAGCTGCACGCCTGTGGTCCCCTCAGACTCCCTCAGGGCCAAACAAAGACCAACATAAATGTGGGATCCTTATTGCAAGAATAAAACTAAACACTTATTTTAAAAAGCAGTATAATACAGAATGCTGTGCAATGTCTGGCTCCCCAGGATCTCTAATTAAGCTTGCACCAGTGATCCTGAGATTCTTGAGTTGAGGTATTGTCATTAGGGGCATTCAGCACTGGTAAATAGGCCCTTCTGGTACACCGAACACACTGTTATTATTGGGGACGAGTGGCACCTCACTTACAGCGAAGTGAAAGGGATGCTTGGGTGGCACACTCAGTGTAATTCTGAGCAGAGAAAAATTATTCAAAAGGTGCTTTACACAGTGTAATCAGTTGGAGGGCCGGGAGAGATTCCCAAAAATTTCAACCAAGGCGCCAACCAGTTTCAATACTGTATGGTTTAAATCAAGGCATTAACATGTCATAATTGTCCTACATCTTGTTCTAGGGGTCCATCTCTCACTGCCAAGTTGATGGAGTGATTTAAAAGCACCTACTGTACCTTGCGCCCAGCCTCGTTATTGTGGAGATTCATGGCTGCTCGTGCATCCTGCCCAGTCTCCAAGGCATCGACAAACTGTTTGGAGATGGCCTCTCCAAAGCCAACGTTGTCACTGCAGCCGCCCCAGAGCCAACCGTGACCCCCTAGGAGAAAGTAAAAGAATATGATCATCTGCGCTATTTCAGTGCAATTCAAAAACTGACGCGTCAGCTCTGCTGTGGGTATTTGTGTACAGATCTGCGCATATCTCGTACCTCGTTGTCCGTTTCTGCTGTCGTCACAGCCACAGTTGTCAAAGTCTCCGAGGCTGCAGTTCCTGGTTAAAGTGTACATGACTCCAGCGGAGCTGATGGCGTGAACAAATGCTGTCTCCCGATTTGCTGTCAACAGAGAGACTCATTAACTACCACACAGAACACTCATCGTAGGTTAGAAATGTTGTACATCATATTACAATCTCCTCCTCTCAGTAAGTTGAATTACCTGCACTGGGGCTTTTCTCGTATAAAATGGCTCGAAAAATGTTTAATTGATCAGTCAATTTCCTATATTCTGTTCAAGATCTGTAAAACCAGACTCAGCAGTATCTACACTTCTAAACTGTGTCTAAATCAAGCTGACTTTCTATTGCCTAACACATTTGACTCCTTGTCTGGTGAATCTCAGTATATTCTTTCATTAGCTGCAAACAGAGGCAGTGATTCTGGGGGGATGTTGTGAAATGGATTAGTGTGTTTGTTTTGCCTCTAGCGACCATGGCCACTGTAACTATCCCAAAGGGTGATGAATGTTTTAACTAAGCAAACATCTCCATTTCACAAAAGAAAAGAAACCTCCCCTTTCTCCCCAGAGAGATATCACAGAACTTGATACAAACAGAAGCATGCAGTTACAAAATACTTTATTTAAAACATCTTTGGAAATCTATTAGCCACATTTCCCCTCCAGGGCAGGAGTCTGTCTCAGCCTCGCTGCTGTGTGGAGATGTTTGAGCTCGTGTTAGGGCAGTTGGTCGTCTGGACTCACCACTGCGCAGGCTGCTGTGCGTGGACAGCTGCAGAGCTCTCTCGGGGCAGTTCCAGCGGTCCCATGCAAACTGGTATTTGCACTCCTCTATGCCACTCTGAGCTCCTGCTGCCACACTGCTGGAGTAGATCAGGTATGCCTGCAGCAGCAGCAGCAGAGAAAGGGCAAATATTAAACTCAAACCCACATCATGCTTTAAAAAAGGAAATGGTTCTGAAGCATCTGGCATGATTTTATACCCAGATATATCGACCTTAGAAACTGGAAATTATCTTCAGCGAAGATTTACCTGATGCAAAACATGGCAGACAGACTACACACTCACAAATGATGAGAGCACTTCTGGCATTTCTACACTGACTCTGGGTTCACACAATCAAAATTAGGAACCATGATATGAATCAGTGTCAGTCTCTTTTACATTTATATCTTTGCACTAGTGTCACATGTTTTACTCTTCACCTGGAGATAATTCTTTGTCACGTGATTTTCTTGACCAGGATAAAAAGGCCACACTGAAATACTCTCAGTGGATAAAATATAAAAGTCTCTCAACGTTTTAGAGATTGAAATGAAATTTATTGTCATTGTTGTGACGAAAACAATCTGAACTGATTCAAACTGAGCTCTAACTTTATTATACTTTTTTTAAACTCTAGGGAATACAATGAATTGTAGAGCTCTCTTCAACCAGTACGCTCTGTCCTTGGCTTTCGCTCGCCGCTCTGCTGCTTGTTCAGACTGTGTGAATGATAATATAACTAATATGTCTCAAGTGGCCTTTGGGGAGATGGAGTACCACCTCTTTCACAGGGGTCTCGCTCACTAATGATGACCACCCACTACAGCCATGCCTGCCTTCGCCTCTTAACACATTCAACCCGCAGATACACAGAGCTTCTGAATAAGGTCAAGTGTACGGAGGGGGAAAGAAAATCACAAAGGGCCAAGAATATCACTGATATATCATTAGTGCTATTGTTGCATACAACAGGTACCAGAGCTTGTCTGTACACTTGAGTTAACATATCACAAGGACTGAACAGGCCTGCACTGAAGAAGAAGAAGAAGAAGAAGAAGAAGAAGAAGAAGAAGAAGAAGAAGAAGAAGAAGAAAAAAAAAAACACACACACACAGAAACCATGTTTTCTCTCCCTGGCTCTTTTGGGAAAAGGACAGGGAGACAAGATCAAAAGAAAGTTGGCTTACCTTGGGTCCAGTCATCAAGAAATTATTCACTGACCTGGAAAAGGAGACAGCTTATTCACTCAGGGAAGCTCAGTGTCCTTCACAAATTCCTCATTAGTGCGCTTCGTAACATGTTAAACCGTGACACCAGTGGGCATCCAAACCTTAGTGAACAATACTGCTGAGTTTGTTTTAAAAAAAAGTTTCCAGAAATGTAACAGTTGAAGGCCACTGTGGGCAACCTGTGTTTCATTAATTATAATTCTGGGTTGCCAGGTTGTGAAAAATCCCACTGGCTGGTCTCAATCCTTTATCTTTGGAAATAATGCAGTTACAAATGTTGGTAGTCCATTTCTAAATGCTCATGGGTTTCTCATTTTCTAATAAGCCATCCAATCCACTGTTATAACTATTAATGAGTAATTAGTCAATATTTTTAAACCATCCAGTCTGCAGTTATGAGTGTTAATAGGTTGTTCATAAATGAATTTTGGTCCAAATTGTCTGCAGCCCTTCTTTAGAAATAAAAAAACTGAATTTTAACAATCTGGCAACTACTAATGGCTAAAACTGATCTGTAACACATTAGTAAATGATTTTGTAACCATGAATATAGCCATTTGTTACAGCTTATAAACCCTTTATAAAGGCTGCCTTATTAAATTGTGGTACTGGTGTAATTGATTAAACAATCCAGTTGCCAAAGTGTGCACTTAAAAAAGAAAGGAAATTATATAGTATTTCATAATAAATCAAACTTACCAGCAGCAGCACGACCTCATGTGAGCCAGGAGAATGAAAATGTAATAAAAAACCTCCAAATGCATGAACATCCTGACAGGTGAGGGGGGGTGACGGTAACTGTGAGCCCGTCCAAAGCCTGCAGACAGTCTGGAGATGGAGAGGAAACTGAGCTACCAGAGCATCAAACTTCACCAGGGCTTCCAAGATTCAAGGAGGGGGCTCTGAAATGGAGCTGCTCTCGTCCCAACAAGAGATTATCTGCTTAATTAAAGATTTTCCCCCTTCTTACTCTCTTGGCCAATCAGAAGTATTGCACCAAGGAGAGACTGAAATGATCAAAAGGGCACCCTGGGCCTTCAGGGCCGGGCAACGGTAGGTTCCCTGCCTCCATTCAAGAGCGGAGGAAGATCTGTTTAATCCTATAGGGAAAGTGTAACACTGATCCCTTGAATTTCTGCTCAGAGTAAAAAGTTTATTTAAGATATCTAACGCGCAGATGAGTGTTGGGGATTAGTGGAGGATCGTCCTCTGGAGAAGGAATTGTTAGTTTGATAGGAGTGAGAGACAAAAAATAGGCCCATACTGTTTGTTCAAGAGGAAGTAATTCACGGTTGAACAAAAAGTGTGATTGAATCAGTGTTTATCATCCTGAATCTGAATCACAGGGACTGTTACTCAGTCGGAAGACGACAGGCAATAATAATAAACTCCAAAGTGTCATTTGACCATTTCATTTGAAATGGGGTCAAAGTGCTGCATTAAATTTACAAAATCAGCGACATAAACAGTAGCCTACAATTTAAGAGTAATTTATTTCCGCAAAGGAATCAACTGCGTGTGGATACGTGACTGTTTCTCAGCAATATCATCAGGGATTCAGTTTCCATTTTGCGCAACTATTGCATGATGATGCGATGATGTTTTTAGTTTACTAGGCTATTTCATTATATCTGCAGATAAGAAAAAGACACAAAACAGCCTCATTTTCTTTGGTATATGATTTCAAAGGTCTTTGATACACTTATGAGGACATAATAATGAGTCAATAAGTAGTCCTATAGTCCGTAGTGGGTGCGAGTGTTTTGTGGATTTTACTGGAGACATATTAGAGGGTTTCATTTTCTCATTCCCCTGCAACATTTTAATCATCTAAAATTTACCATAAGATGATTTACATTTGTTCAGGTGCGTCTGAGGAGTTAAAAAGACAGAAAATCCTCCCCGTCAGAAAATAAAATGGATTGGCCTGTAGCTATTGATCAGATGTGTGACATTTGCATCACTAATCCAGACGGTCCCTACCTAACACTGGATGAAGGGTTATTCCCCAGTAACCCCGTCTGACCCGTAGGTCCCTTTCCTTTGGCACTGGCAGCCCTTTAGCAATCTTCTTGTGTGCAAATTAGGATTAGAGAAAAGGTGATTTGGAGAGGGGGGTGGGGGGGGGACTTCTGAGGGATGTTTTTGGATTAAGATATAAAGAGGAATGCAAAGTATAAGATGAGACCAAAGAGGGATCCATGCTGTTGTTTTAGCTCTTTTTTTTATTATTATTATCTTAAATAGCTAGACTACGTGCTCTAGATGTGAAAAAAAAAAATAGCGGCACTGGACGGGAGGGAATTGATCAATAATAACAAAGTGGCAGCACAAGTTTGCAAGAGTCAGGCTAAAACTGTCTGACTGAGCACAGCCAAGTGTCTGAGCTCTAACCGGCAGTGTGACCACACTGAGGTGTTACATGCGTGAAGAGGATGGCCTGACAGGCAGCAGCCAATAGACAGAGGGCTGATGTCACTGTCGGGGGCCACAGAGATCAGCACTGGTGGGACCACTTACAGTACATTTGGACCGGCCACAGACTGGTGGCCGCTCTCTGTAGCAGTCTGCAGAGATTTTCTGCCAAAACCACCAACTGCAACAAACAAAAACACATTTACCACTTTCCCACAGAACAAAAGGACGATGCACTGCGTTGGCTGTGTTGACTTGCCATAAAGTGTTTCTCCAGCAGAGGGAGCAAAGTGCACAGAGCTTTCAAATGGTAAAAAAGATGTGTTGATAACAAACACTGAAGTCTTTTTATAGGGGATTCTGTTTTTTTGCTCACCCACCTCTGACCAAATCAGGCTCATATAGTGGGAGTTAGCAGAAATTTGCACAAGGGCAGTTCAAGAGGCCTCGCACACTGTGACGGTCCATCTGACCACCTCGCTGCCACCATCAGGACGTGACCACAGTGATAACTAAAAAAGATTTCAAGGGCCTCCTGTTTCTACATTTAAGTCTGCAGAAGTGGACACACAAAGCTGCAAGTACTGTACTGTATCTGCCCTCTAGGAATCCTCAAGGAATGTATCTGCAAATATTTTAAATATGTACATTGCTTTCACAAGTTCAACCATCTCACAGCATTGTTAGATGGAGGTGAGACAAGTAAGCAAAGCATGAAGAGCAGTGGCAGATCCCAATCAGGACAGGCATGTAGACAAGAGGCTGTCAATTAACAAGTACAAGATATCCAAAAAGGAATTGGAGATGCTGGAGTTGCTGTGGCTCCACATACGTCAGCAGTAAGATGAAGATAATAACATCCAGATTATTAAACCCTGGTTGGACCAGCTCATTAGGGAATCAGTATAGAAATCCATGTTGTACAGACAGACGGACATTAGCTATCAGTAAATGTCAAATACCATTTGTCACTATGCAGCGCTATGGGCAAACAGCTTTTCAGATGATGAATTTAGCTTTTTTTTTTTTGGACATTTCACATATGAAATATATTTTTCATACGGATCTTTATTTTCTTTGTGCTGTCACATAATTTCTGAAAATACTGTACATCACAGTTTAGTTTGTCAATATAGGTTTCTTTATAGTATAGTTAGTATAATAATAGTTCATTATCATTAGTGGTGTTATTAATGTTGTATCTAGAAGCCACTGATGAAGAATGTAACAAAAGGTACGATCATATTTTTTATTCAGCATACGAATAAGGAGTATTACAGAATTTCAACAAAAACAGCAAAACATACTTTGTCACAAGTAGAAAATTTGGTTTATTTACGGTACATACTGTGGGCAAAAACATTCTTTGAAAAAATGTGCCATTTTTTAAGGCATTCAAAATTCAAGAAGTTAACACTGTAAAAAATTGTTGCTCTGTAAAAGAGGAAGTGTGACAGATATTACAACAGCATCATTAATGATATTATTACAAGTCTGGATCTTGTTTTTCAGAGCAAAAGTATTTGTTTGATTACACAAAAGTTAAATTATATTAAATCTTTTTTTTTTTTTTAGGATTTGTTGAATGGTCCCTCTTTGTCATTATAAATAAGGGAATATAGTTTTTCAAGTTTACCTTAAAAAACAGACACCACACAACTGTGATTAGACAGAAAATTTAAGCCCTAATTTATTTCCATGACTTGCACTTTTTATTATATATATATTTTTTTTTTTTTTAAACAGGTGTGCAACCCCCATAAGGCATTTGGGCAAGAGTCCTGGCGTACGTTTCAATAATATCACACAGCACAAAAGGTAAATGCACCTCCTACACATGCCTTGTTGGCCTTATCTGAGGGAGAGGGAGAGTTTATTTCAAATGAATACAAAATAAATGCAAATAATTCTCTCTTCATATTAAGAGTGAGACATCTGGGTTCTGTGTTCCAGTCCAGAGGCTTCTACATGGGCCTTGAACACAGCAGCATCTGGTTTAGTAAGACTACTAGCTTACCAAAAATAAAGAAAACCTTAGCTTAAAACAGACAAACAAATACCAAGATTAAACTCCACTCCCTGTGGAATGAAACAAAGCACTACTGACAGAAGTTAGAGCGAAAGGCCCTCAGTCTTGCTTGTAGGAAAACCTCACTGTTACGGGTTTCAATAAAGCTTTTAAAGTGCCAAAGACTATTAATAAATAGCACATTAATAAATAAGAGATACAGTAAATTATTCTGTAATTACTGCTTTTACACACCACTCACACAGACCTGTTTGGCTGTCCTACTGCTGCCAAAAAGAGACTTAAATCCCAATTTGCCTTTTCATTGTCTTTGTGCCCGTTTGGTATTATGGTGAAAAAGCTGTGCTTGCACATGTAGCCAAGTCGCTGGCTGTGGCTAATAGTCAGTGAGGACACTTCAAAACTTATAAGAGACCCACACGATTTATGGAAAGGTCTATAACTCTGTAAAGCCAGTATTAATCTCAGGAAGAGGTTTAACTTATAATCAGAAGCTTGGTAATCACCACCCCACCACTGAAATGCTGCTATACCTGTTGCTACGTTCGGTCTTGGTTCGACACGTCGGTATCCCTTGCAGAGTTTGTAGCTAGTGTGACTCAGCCACTTTTGTCGCTGCCGTCACCCGTTCGCTGAATGCGAGCCATGATCAACTCCTTCGACACCTTCTTGCAGTCCTTGGCTAAACCCAGGAAGCACATGAGATCTATAAAGGCAGTGGTGATATTGAACTTCCAGCCAAACTCACTGGTGGCGTAGTCAAAGGGGAATGTGTGATGGTAGTTGTGGAAACCTTCCCCTGAAAGCAGAAAGAAAAAAGAAAAAAATATATGAATACTTGAGAGTTTTGCAGAATGTCAACAAGTTCACAGGCATAACTTGAATGTACAGTAGATATGCATGGCAGAGTGACAAACCAGCTACAGCATGTGACAGATGTTAACTGGAGACTTATTTTTGGATCTGAAAATCTTAAAAAGCTGACTGTCGCATGATGTAATTTAAAAGCTACCAGAATTAGATTTGCTAAATTAGCCCATGTAATCATCATGGCGCTGTGTATTTACAGGTTTTTGTTTTTTTGTTTTTTTTTTCCCCACAATAGAGTGAAAAAAATAATAAAATAAAATTGTGGTTCATGAAAGACACAACAGCTCCAGGAGATACGACAACCATGAATCCCACAAAGAACTGCAGTAACAAACATCCAATCAACATGTTTAAATCTGTAGCCCACACAGTTAATACTGCCGGTAAAGTAACAGGCAGATCTGTAGACGTTGTTGGATAAATTTTGATTTTTTTTCCCCCCAGGGCTTTTTGGGA